AATGAACCCCAGTCCCCCAAGCGCAACAGCATCAGCATCACCTGGGCACTTATCAGGAATGCAGAATCTCAGGCCCCACCCCTACCTCGGACCTAATGAGTCAGAATCTGTAGTTGCACAAGGTCCCCAGGAGAGCTGGATGCCCTGACCACGTGAGAAGCCCTGCGTTAGAACAAACAGGGAGCTCCAGCCAGATGCCCCGAGGCGGTCAGGCTGGACCACGGATGGGGGTGGCTGTGTGGCCCCAGGGGGCATCCCGGAAGACCCAGAGGCCCCTGAAGCAGGGGGGAGGAGGGCAGCTGGCCCGGCGGACAGACAAGCACACAGCCCAGCCCTGCGTGAGGCTGGCCACCTGCAGCCCACAGCCTCCCAGCTCACGGCAGCTAAGAGGACAAACAGGGCCGGGGCCCGGCAGGAGGGCAGCCCCCAGCCGGGTCAGACTCGGTCACACAGACAACTGAAGCCTTGCAAGGGGGAGGACCCGGGGCCCAGGTCTCCCCAGCCAGGGACACAAGGGGCCTGGCCCTGCGGGGCTTCCACACACCCCGCATCCCGGTGGCACCTGGGCCCTGAGCTGGGTCTTGGCAGGTGGAGCACGTCCTCGGCGGAGAGCCCGGCTGCCCACCGTGCCAGCTGACAGCAGCGCCCAGGCAGCTCACCTTGGAATTCCGCTCTGCACCAAGGAGCCCTTCCCCCGCCCAGTGCCGCAAGGCAAGGCCCGCAGCTCCTTTCGGCCTGTCCTACTACAGCACAGAGTGAGCACCCCTGTTGCTGGGGGCAGCAGCGTTCCTGTGCACGGCCTCCAGGAGCCCCCCCAGCCCCCACACCCAGAGCCGGGCTGCTCCCTCCTTCCTCCTCACCCCCTCCTGTGCATGCACTCTGGCCTGGTTGAAGAAGCAGAGAAAGCTGGGGAGAGCTGGGTGTGGGGTGGAGGAAATGGAAAAGTAACTAGTCCTCAGAGTCCCTCCTTTAGCATCTAACTTGGCCTCAGGGTACAGAGGGCCCCGGGGAGGGCTAGCTCTAAGGGGCTGGCACCTGCGCCTGCCAGGCCAGGACTCTTTTCTGGATTGGTCTAGATAGAGCGGGGTTCGCAACCTAGGTGGTCTCCAATTTAGGAAGTCCACAGACCCCAGAAAATTGAGCATCGTGTTGATTCTGGATATACGAGCATCTTTCTCAATAGAGACTCTATGGTTTCCTGCAGGTTCTCACTTAGGTCCCAGACCCAGGTTTGGAACCGCCGGTCTGAGACAAGGTCAGAGGCTCATCTGGTCCCTCCAGGACAAAGGGAAGGAGGCAGTGCCAGTGGGGGCCGCGTGGCGCCTAGCAGCATCACTGGTCTCTGACGGTGCACGGGAGCGCTCACCTCCATAGGGCAGCCACAGTTGTATGGGTCTGATGTGGGCAACGGGATTCCCATTCTCCTCGGTGGGGAAACTGAGGCTCAGACAAAGCTCCTAACCCAAGCAGGGCCCCATAACAGATAGGGCTGGGCCAGTGATGTGAGGTGGGCCATGGCACTGCCTGGGGCCAGGGACCAGCACAGGAAGTCATTGAGTTTTAGGTCACCCTTGGGATTTATCAGGCCACTAGTCCAGTTTCCCTGATTTCAGAGTCTAGCTGTTTCTGTCCCAAGGAAAGGACCCTGGAGGGCACTTCTTCCCTTCCCTTCTTCACAGCTTCAGAAGGCTCAGGCTAGGACAGGGAGGGGCAGAGGGATGAGAAGGGCCAAGCTTCTGTCGGCCTCTATTTTCAAGGCCAAGCTAGAGTTTGGGGCACAGGAGTAGCTCCAGAACTGACATCCCACATAGGGACTTCCTTACCGGCCTTCATGTCCACCCACACAGCTCCAAGACACCTGCTCAGACAGATAGCTGGGCATACACACACCCAGGAAGACCCCCTGAGCCTGACACTTGAAAGCCTGACAAGCTCCTGGGAACAAAAAAAAGTACATTTCACTCAGGTCCCCACTCCTTTTCTCTCCTTTTGGAAAAAACAATGGGTTTTATTTGTTCCAAGCCAAGCCAAGCTCAGCTCCCAGGACATGGCTTCACGTGGAAGGAAGGACCCATCCAGAACCCAAGAGCTCCAGCCTTGGGCAGGAGCCCGGGAAGGAATGTCCTGAGGGGCTGTGTGTCTTGGCTTCTTCCTTTACCAAACCTTAAATATAAGTCTCAAAAGGGAACTGGAAAGTTGGGTGGGGGGGTGGAAGAGGGGAGAGGTGGAGGTGGGGGGAGGCCAGACAAGTCTGTAGAGCCTGGAGGAGCCATGCAATAGCTGGGGAGGAGGCAGCCAAGAGAAGCTTCTTATTAGACATGGGTCAGGTTCTGTAGGTCCCTCAGAGCATAGTCCACTCCAGCCCTCGAAAAAGGCACCCAACCTTCCTCTCCTAGGAACAGGAGATGCCAGATGCAGCCCATGACAGTGAGCCCTGAACTCCAAGCCGCAAACTCAATCTATCATGGTTTGCTGGCGATTCTTTATTAAACCAATTCTGCTGGATCAATGCTTCCTGCCCGTCAAAATGATGAATAAATCCTCAACTGGTCTGAGCAGTGCTTGCAGAAGCTCTTACGAAGGCTGAGCTGGGCAGTGGGGACTGGCTCCATGCAGAGGCCCATGGCCAGTGGCTGAAACTCAAGGGACTGAGGGTTGGGGCGATGCCAGGTTGAGTGGTGGGTTTCCTAAGCTTAGAAGACTCAGCCAGGCCCTTGCCTCTTTGACCTTGTGCACAGGAGACCAGCTGCCCTGGCTTAGAGGTATGACCACTGCCCCTCCAGACACACACCCTTGGGTCTTTCTTGGATTTCTTCTCTTACACTCCACCCAGCCCCAGAGAGCTACAAGACTGCGCACGCAGACGTGTGCTTCCAGCTACCTGTCCCTGCTGCTTGTCGCTACAAACACAGATTCAAAGGCCAGTCTGACCCTTATCCTGTTGCCCATTTATCAATCCTGCTGTGTCCACCCCTCCCTATCCCCACCACCACCACCACCCTCCGCCACGTCCCGGGCAGCCTGCAGTTAGTGAGAGAGCTGCAAGGGGCGGGGGGGGGGGGGGACTGCAGACAGACATGCCAAGATGGGCAGAGGAAGATCAGGAAGGTGGAAAGGTTCCCATGGATGCAGTCAACCCAGCCCTAACCCTCATCCTAACCACCATCCAGGGTAAGGGTGGGTACTGGGAAGGCAAGGCCCAGTTCCCAGAAGGTGCTCCATCAAAGCCTGCGGTCTGTGGAGGCCAGGCATGCCTGGGGTTGCACCCCTTCACATCCCACGCAATGGGGCTGGCGAGGAGAACCCTGACCAGAGGCTCTCAGACAACAGGGAGATGAGCAAGGGAAGGGAGGGCACAGCCCACCTGCTACCACCTGCAGGGCATTCAAAGGGAGGAGGACAAGCCCAGGACACCCAGAGGGTGCGGGAGATCCAACTCCTGCCCACTCCTCCCTGGCTCAGGCTGGGAGCCTGAAGTCCTAGCACTGACCAGAGGGGAGGCCACACTTCAGGAAACTGGCTGGCCCCGGGAAGCAGCCACAGTTCTCAATGGGAGTGTCTCACATCTGCTCACACACCTTGAAGACTATGCTCGTCTGCTTAGCCTGTGGCCTCCCACACCTCTCATTCAGGGAATGGGAACCCTGGATATTAGGGCTACGAAGAGCAGTCCCTCAAAACAAGAAAATGCGGTGGGGGGGGGGCTCTGTTCACCACTATTTTAAGCCATCGAGCGTTGCCTGACTGGTCACTCCCAGCATGAGAAATCTCTCTCATTGGATGGAAAATGGCTTTGCTCTCATTACAAACCTAGCTTCCCTGGAGTTTGCAAAGAGGGCTCTGGGTTGGTAAAATGTTCATTTATACTGGCAGGCAAGCAGGGTAGGCAGGGAAGGGAGCTAAATAGGGGGCAGGGCTGAGAGAGAGAATGAATCAGACCCAGCTTTAAAGGGTGAAGGTTTTGAAGACCCTCACTTCAGTCCCGTGTGTCAGGAAAATTCAGACGGGAGGACAGGGGAACCCCAAGATCTTGACTGGGAGACGGGGGTGGGGGGGGCTCTCTTATTTCAACTTCAGAAGCAATCCCCCATTGCCTCTGAAAACAACCTCCTGTTTTGCAGATACCCCCTGTGGGCCCCCCAGTGGCATCTGACTCAGGTGATGGGGGAGGGGACAGGGTCCCTCTCCCCAACTGGCAGTCACACCGTTTGTCTGGGGACCCATGACTGACCCACGAGAGTCCTAGTAGCTATTGAAGCTCAGGCCTCTGGGGTGAGGATGGGGAACTGCATGAGCCTGGGGGGGTCACAGGACAGCTGCTCATCAGTTGGGACACCAGGCGTCTTCCCTGACCTGTATGAGCAAGGTCATCCTGTCCTGCCAGTCCAGATGCCAGGTGCCCGGGGTGCCTGGCCCAGCGCTCGCCATGAAGGTCTGGACCCAGGGGTACGGTGGGCATGGAGGGCTCTAATCCGGGACCTGAGGCTCCAGCGCCCCCAGTCCTCCAGGGGCCCAGCTCTCCCTCCCAGCTGTAGCTTCCGGGGGGGGGGGGCACCAGAAGGAGATAACTAACCCTTGGGGTCAGTGCCCGGGGAGCTGGCACCTGTGTCTTCCCTCTTGGCCCTGGCTCTTCAGGCTGGATGACCTGCCACTGCGCCTAGGATGCCCAGCCCGGGGAGGTGGGATGTGCGCCTTACAGCGGCAGAGCTTTGGTCCTGGCTGCCTGCAGGGCTAGGCCAGGCGCCCAACACCCTTCCAGCCTGCCTCGGCTGTGGCCCAGACCCCAGGAGGGAGGGGACTGGAGCCCCGAACACAGGGGAAAAGTTGCCAGCGCGGCGCAGGAGGCGGCCTGGGGGTGTCCTGCTGCCCGGAGGCGCCCCACTTGTCTCGGAGCTCCCCGCGCGAGGCAGGAAAGTTAACTCCGGCGGAGAGACCGCCCGGGGACCCCGCACCCCCGCACCCCCGCACCCCCCGCCGCGGGATCGCCCCGGGCCCCTTACCTGAAGTCGCTGTAGGGGTGGATGATCCAAAAGCCGGCCGACTTCACCCTCTCCTGCTCGCGCTCCACCGCCTTCTGGCTGCCGAACATCCTCAGGGAGAATTTGTTGACTCCGGGCTGGAGCATCGCCCCGAACTGGCGCTGCATGAAGCCGGCCTGGCCCAGGCGCGCCTCGGCCTCCGGGAGGATCTGGTCGCCGGCCGCGCCTCCCTCCACTTTGATGGCCGAGTCCGCCGAGCGCGGCTCGCAGGAAGCGGGCGGCGGCGGCGGCTGGGGCGGCGGCGGGGCCGCGGGCTGGGCGGGGGCGCCGGGGCGCTCGGGCTCGGCCGCCAGGCCCGGGGGCGTCCTGTCCTCGCCGGGGGACGCGTCGCCCTCGGAGATGAGCCGCCGCTCCTCGGCGGAGCCGCGCGGGTGCCCGTGGCCGCCGCCCCCCGCGCCCCCCGCGCCCCCCGCGGCCCCCGCGGCCCCCGCGCCCCCCGCGCCGCCGCCCCGGCTGCCCAGCGAGGCCAGGCTCCCGCGGAAGCGCCTGCAGTCGCCGTTGCTGCTGGCCTTGCCCGCGCCGTCCGCCGCCGAGGGCGAGGGCGAGGGCGAGGGCGAGGGCGAGGGCGAGGGCGAGGGCAGCGGCCGCAGCCGGATGCTCCTGCGGCTGGGGTCCCCGCGGCCCCCGGCGCCGTCCTCCTCGGCGTCCTCCTCCTCGTCCATGATCCACGCCTTGGCCCCCACCTGCTGCGGGAGGCTGTAGAGCCGCTTGCGCATGGACGGCGGCAGCTTGTCCATGGCGCGCGGGGCCGGCGCCGGGCCGCGGAGGGGGCGCGCGGGCTCAGGCGCCCATGCCCGGGCGGGCGCGGGGCGGCGGGGCGGCTCCCGGCCGGGCTCCGGGCCCCCGCGCTCCCCCGCTGCCCCCCGCCCGCGTCCGGGGGCGCGGCGCGCGGCCCGGCTCCAGGCGCCCCGCCCCCGCGGGGAACAATGGGCGCTGCGGCCGCGGCGCCCGGGGAGCCGCTTGGAGAGCCGCCCCGGGGCGCAGGGCGCACGGCCCGCGCGCCTCCCCGCCGTGCGCCCCGCGGGCCCGCGGCCGTCAGCCCGTCCCGCCGCCGCGGCCCTGCGGCCGGCCGCCCGCGAGCTCGCCTCGCCTGCCCTGGCCGAGCGCGGCCGGCCGGTCCCGGGGCTCCCTCCGCAGCCGGCTTACATCAGCGGCCGCCCTCCCCGGAGCGCCCTCCGGCAGCGCAGGGCTCCCGCGCCCCGGAATATTCATGAAGCCGCCGCAGCTCGCGGGTTGCCATAGGAGCGGCTCCCGCGGCCGGGCCTGCCTACCTGGGCTTCTTAAAGGAGCAGCGGCGCGCGGGCCGGGGCGGGCGGGGGGCGGGGGCCGGGGGCGGGCCCTGCGGGGGCGCGGGGGGCGCGGGGGGCCCTCGCCGGACCCCGCGGGCGGCGCCGCGGGGCGTCCCTCGTCCTGCACCCCCTGCACCTTTCCTTGGCCACGGCTGGGAGCGCGCCCCAAGTCTGGGATCAGGGCTTGGGCTGCCAATTCCCACCCCGAGGAGACTGGGCGGGGGGAAGGGGCGGGGGACGGGCTTTCCCGAGCTGTCCCCCAGCTCCGGGCCCGCCTTTCCCGCGGCGGCTTAGCTGCCGGGCCGAGTCCCCGACCCACCTCTGGGGAGGCTGGCGGGCCCCCTGGGTGCGCAGCCCCGGGCCTTTCCGCCAGGCGCCCGGACGGGGGTTTCCAGGAATCGCGCTGCCTCTGGGCAGCTCCCGGGGTTTCCCTGCGGCACGGTCGAGGGGCGAACCCCGCGCCGGTCTGTCCCCCCGCGGAGCCCGCGGCAGCCGGGCAACGAGGGAAAACTCCGGGAGGCTCCGGGCGCGCGGGTGAGACCCAGCCCTTCGAGGTAAGACTTCCAGGAAATGCGCCCACAGCGGCCGCGGGGTCCTGTCCCCGCGCGCACCCCTCCGCGGGCGGTGCAGGTGGGGGTTCCTGAGCCGCGCGGGGCTGCAGCGAGGAGCAGGAAGGCGGGCTGCCCTGGCGGCCCGGCGAGCTGGGGCTAGCCGCCCTCCTGCAGCCTGGGTTCCCATCCAAACTGTGACACCCCCGTGTGACCCAGGCGAGAGGGGTTCCCGTCCCACCCGAGCCTCCTAACCCCAAGCAGCTGCACAGTCCCCTCCCCCTCGAGTCCGCTCCCCACCCCCACCCACAGGCCAGCGGGCCATCCAGCTGTGTGTCCTCCTCCCCCTGCAGACAGTCTCTGGGTCTATGGACAAATCCCACCAGGCCCTCCAGAAATACGGCTCTTTTCCCCTTTGCGCCCCAGGACAGCCTGACACCTCCCGTCGGCACAGGCCGGGCACAGGCGGGGCACAGGCGGGGCAGCCAGATGCCCTCTCCTAGGCCTGGGGGCCCCTAAGATGGCTCAGGGGTTATTACTCAGATCCCGTGGGGGCCAATACCCCAGACCAGCTCAAAAATGGAGATGGGATGCTAGAAGGAAGGGGTTGGCCAGGGAGGGCTGGAGTTTGGGTTACTGCAGAAGTGGATCCTCAGCCAAGGCTGACAGGAGGGATGCAAAAAGGTCCCCTGGCCCTGCCATCTGAGGAATAACACCGAGTTGTTCTTCCAAGGATTTCTTACTCTTATTCTTAGCCCACTTGGGACCATCTCTCCCCCACCCCATTCAGAGCAGAAATTTTGGTAGCCAGGTATGAGGAGGCAGCCTGGCAGGGGTTTTTCTGCTCTACCCACTGGACCACAGGGCCTCCCATGGGGGGGGGGGGAGGGAAGGACTAGGGTGATGACATCACCGCTAGCTGGCATTTCTACTTTTGAGCAGCTCTGAGCTGACAGTTCTCTGCACAGATGCTGGGAGGCCTAATCCTTGAATGTCCTTGGGTCTCCTTGAGGAGTGTTCTTAACCGGCTGGGAGCCCCGCCTGCCCTGATGTGCCAGTCATACGGAGAAGACCTCCATTTAACTCACTTCTTTGGGCTTCTGTATACAGCCAGGAGCTAGCCTGCCCTACCCCGGCTTCAGGAAGTCAACCCAAATGATGAGTCCCAACGACCTGTAGTGGCAAGGGCATCCTCTCCTCTAGGTACCCTTCCCGGCCACCCAAATCTTGGCCATGTCCCACCTTTTAGCCCTCGTGGCCCGTGAGCTCTCAGCAACCTGAGCACCGATTACACAGTGCAGCCTGTGTCCCCTTCGGGACTGAGCTCCCCGAAGGACAGATTCGACTCATACCAGGGAGCTCAGCGCCAAAACAAGGAGGGACAGAGAGCAGATGGATAGATGTCAACTAAGCATGAGCGACCCTGGAAGTTAGCTAGTGCCATTGAAGGGGCTCCTTGAAGTCGATGGAGGATAGAACCAAGGTTCCGTGTTCTGGGATACGCTGCCAGAGGCTGGCCAAGGGTCAGGGCCCTTGGATTCCTCTCCCTCTGGTACCTCACCTACCCTCAGTCTGGTTAGTCTGGTTAGCACCAGGGTCCCCTAGGACCACCCTTGGGTCTAGAAATGACCAGTAGGTAAAGTAGGCATGTGGTGACACTGGCCTCTCCTGTCTCCTCTGTGTGCAAACTCTCAAGGGGGGGCGGCGGGGCATGCCAGCAGTGTGGCAGGTAGAGGAGCCAGAAACTCAGCCCATGATGGGCTCCAGTTTGTGGGGAATCTTAGACTTCTCCAGAGGAGAGAGGAGAAAACTCAAGATAGGAAAGGAATGTGTTCTAAATTCATGCCTCAACCAGTGAGAGATTTGAGGGGGACCTCGCTGAGCTTGGCGTAGCTAGAGAGGCCTCCCTGGACGGAGGGGGCCGATTTGGTGAGAGACGTGTCTCCGGCACCTTACAGGTTACACGTCATCTTTAAACCGCATGACATTTTTGTGGACCATTTTATGATTTCTGTGTCCCAATCTAACATTCTTACTCCCATTCGCGAGCAAGAAAATAAAGCACCGAGAGGTGCTTGCCAAATGTCTCATGGCAAGAAAAACTGTGGAGCTGGACTGGACCTCGGGCCGAGCGCCCCACCGGTCAGGCTCTTCGCAGCTGCCCAGCTGACTCACGCAGGTGCGGGGGGGGGGCAGGCACAGGTGCAGGAGGGAGCACAGGCAGATCTGAGTGTAGCGTGGTTGAAGCAGAGAAAAGGTGAAGAACGGAGCCCCCACCTTGTATATTCTCCCCATTGCTCCAGCCGGGTCTCATGCCTTCTCCAGTGCCTTCTAGAAAGCCAGAGGTCTGTTCTGGTTCATCTGGTAACATGGCAGACGGGACTTAGGGCCTCCAGCAAGGGGAAGGGCCCTGCCTGCGGCCTGAGATAGAGACGTGTGGCTCTCGGCTTCGGTGCAGGGGAACTGCGTGTCTCTAGGAGACTGAGGTGCTTCCTGCAGGGCTGCAGGGGGCCTGGGTATTCCTGGAATGTAAACCCAGAAAAAATCTGGGTCTGAGAGAGAAAGGAGCTGCGGAAGATGGGCTTTCTTCCCTGGAAGGGATACTGATTCGGAAGACCACCTGGGAGGGGGGGGCAAGGAGGTAGCTGATTATTATTGTAGGTCCACCTCAGATCTTACCTGGTGGGAACCTGGACAGGCAGAAGGGGTGAGAAATTCTGAAAGTTTATTTGCTTGTTGGCTGAGGGCATTGTTCTTGCTTAAAGGGGCAGCTCTGAGGTAGGGGAGTGGCTCCCACAGGGCGTAATGCCAAGGTTTTGGCTGGTTCGCTGAAATTTAACAAAAGACAGAGAGAGAGAGAAAGAAAGAGAGAGAACAATGTAGGATATTTTAGGGTAAGGTTGCCAACTGTCCTTCTTAGAAGTCTGTCTTTATTCTAACATTATATCCTTGCCGCATTTTCTGTGTTAAAATGTCCTTTTATGAAATCATAGTGCTAGGAGATGGTTGTTTGTTTTTTTTTTTTTTTGTCCTTGGCTAAATAAAAAGTTGGCATGGGATTCTGTGTTTGTTCCCAAAAATCATTTTTGAAATGTTACTGGTCTGTGAATTCCAAAAGTCTAGGGGCCCCCTGCTGTAAACAATAGAGCGCGAGATTGGGAAACAAAAGCTGTAGAATTAAATACTTCTCTGTCATTTACTGCCCGTGTATGCCTCCGTCTTCCTTCCGTGTGTGTGAAATGGGTCGAACGATGTGTGCCTCACACGCTGCTGCGAAGACTGAGAGAATGAATGCGTGCGGTACGGCATCTCATTTGTAGTAAGTTCTCAATAAACACTGAGTGGGGGAATATTGAGTAAAACTTGCAGTCGCCGATGGAAAGGAGACACTTGGGCAGCCACTCGGGTGGCTCAGCGGTTTAGCGCCGCCTTCGGCCCAGGGTGTGATCCTGGAGGCCCGCGATTGAGTCCCACGTCGAGCTCCCTGCATGGAGCCTGCTTCTCCTCTGCCTGTGTCTCTGCCTTTCTCTCTCTCTGTGTGTGTCTCTCATGAATAAATAAATAAAATCTTAAAAAAAAAAAAGGAAAGGAGACACTTGGCCTTTGGAATCCAATTTAGGTCATATATGTGTCTTAAAAATTGTAGTGTGGACAGAAGTTATGCCTTGCTATGCAGGATCGCTTTCCTCAAATTCTCCATCCCTGGTAAGTCTTGGCTGGGTTTCCAGAAGGCAGACTTCCTTCTTTCCAGGATGAGCACTTGCCCAAGTGGGATCAGAGGAAAGAACAGAGCCCCCACCTTGTATAGTCTCCCCATTGCTCCAGCCGGGTCTCATGCCTTCTCCAGTGCCTTCTAGAAAGCCAGAGGTCTGTTCTGGTTCATCTGGTAACATGGCAGAC